GTTAGAGGAACCTGAGTCAGATGCTAGCATCATGGGGGATATCAAATTGCAGTGATAATCAGATAGATAAGCTGGAGGTTTAATATTTCGATTCGATTTTCTGGTTGGCACAGGAGGGGAGGGGCAAGGAGAGTTGTTAGTGTCATTTGAGGAAGAAGAGAGGTTAGTGGGAGAATATGGCTGGGGGAGAGAGGTAGGAGAGGAAGGTTCATTTGATGGTGGAGGTAAGATGGGTGGAATGTTGGTGAAAATATCAGGTGAATCAAGGGAAGGAGGGTCAGAAGTAGGAATTATAGGATTAGGTGCAGGTGGGATGGATGCAAAAGGGAACACAGTTTCATAAAAGAATACATTCCTTGAAATGTAAAATTCATGTGTGATAGGATCATAGAGAAGGTAGCCTTTTGTGCCTTCCCTGTAGCCAAGAAAAATAGATTTCCTTGCTCTTGGTTCGAATTTAGTGCGATGGTTAAGCAAGGTCGAAGAATAGGCAAGACAACCAAAGACTCTCATATGGTTAAGGCTGGGAGGAGTAGAATGGAGTTTTTGGTAGGGAGAGTGGTTGTTTAAAAGAGGAGTGGGAAGACGGTTTATAATATGAATGGCATGTTGTATGGAAAGGTGCCAAAGGTTGTGAGGGAGGTGAGAGTGGAAAGAGAGGGCACGGGCAACATTCAAAATATGCTGATGTTTTCTTTCCATGATACCGTTCTGTTGAGGCGTTTCCACACAAGACCTTTGATGAATGATTCCTTTAGAAAGGTAGAAAGTGGTCACGAGAAACTCAGGACCATTATCACTACGAATGCACTTGAGTTTCTTGTTAAATTGAGTTTCGATAAAAGATATGAAGTGAATTAAATGGTTTCTGGTTTCACTTTTGTTGGCCATAAAAATTGTCCAAGTAAACCTGCTGTAATCGTCTACGAGGGTTAAAAAATACTTGTGGCCACATATGGAAGGTGTGGAAAGAGGGCCCCAAATATCGACATGAAATAAATCGAAGATGGCAACAGACTTAGTATTACTGTGAGTAAATGGAAAATGTTTTTGCTTAGCCAAATGGCAAGTATTACAGGGCTTATGATTGTCATTGTAGGTGACAAAAGGAAATTGAGAGGAAATACATTTGTGTATGTAAGGACTTAAGTGTCCAAGCCTAAGATGCCAAATAGTAGCAGGATCGTGTTTAGCAGGTTCTAATTGGGGAGAAGAGGAGGTGTTGACAGAGCCAAATGTGGGAGAGATGGCCTTAGGTGGGGTGGCATCAAGAACATACAATTTGCCAATCCTTCTAGCTGTAAATCCAGTCATCTTGGATTGGGACAACTGCATAATTTGACAGCAATTAGGGGAAAATTTCACATCATATAAAGTGGAGTCAAAAAGAGTGGTGACAGAGATAATATTGACATGAAAGGAAGGAAAGTAATAAACATTGTGAAGGACAAGTGAATCACATAGTAAAACTGGACCAGCAATAGTTGTAGTGACAGAGTCACCATTAGGCATTGTCATAGATTTAGGTGCAATGTGGTATGTGGAAAGGAAACTGGCAAAGATATGGGTGATGTGATCAGTGGCACCTGTGTCAATGATCCACCAGTTATGACAAGGAAGATTCGAGGAATTCTTACCAGAGGAAGTATGAGGAGAGGTATGGGAAACAGAATTAGCAGTATAAACTGAATTAATCGAGGGAGGTGAAGGAGATTGCAAATTAGACTGTTGGAGGAGCTGCAGAATCTGAGTGTATTGCTCTTGAATCGTAGATAAAGCACTTGGACTGGTGTTTGATGTGGAAGCAGAGGAAGATAATGCCTCAAGTTGAGGAGAAGCAACATCTTGAATCGAGTTCACTGTAGAATCAACAGAATTCTCCACAAATGTAGTAGGCTTGCATTGTTGAAATCCAGGGGGATAGCCATGTTTCATGAAACAAGTCTCAATGGTGTGATTGGTGCAGTTGCAATGAGTACAGAGTCGGTTTCCACGGCCACCACGGCCACGACCACGACCAGGGTTGTGAAAAGAACGAGAAGGTGCTTGAGAAAGGTGATTCACAGACGATTGAGACTCAATTGAAGAAGCAGAAGGTGAAAGAAGGTTGAATTGACGTTCTTGTTGAAGAACCAGATTAAACACATTATCAAGAGTTGGTAGTGGGGTCATCAACATAATCTGCGAGCGAACATGAGCGTATTGGTCACCAAGGCCCTTCAAGAACTTGATAACTTTATCTTGTTCTTTGAATTTGCGTAAGTCTGAAGCAGCACCACAGGAGCACGGTATAGCGCAAGTACAATCACGAATTAGCCGGAAGTTCTCGATTTCTTCCCAAAGCGTCATCAATTTCGTGAAGAACGAAGAGATATCGAGAGTTCCTTGTTGAAGATGAGTAACAGTTTCTTGAATGTCAGCAATGCGAAAAATATCTCCCCTGAGAAAAACGATTTTCCATACAAGATAAGCACGATCATACCAGAGAAAAGATTTTGCAATTTCCTCAGAAATCGAGCGTTGAAGCCATGAGAGGACGAGATTGTTGCATCGCAGCCAAGGTTCGTATAGAGAGTCGGAGATAGGCGAAGGAGAAAGAGTGCCATCAACGAACTTGATCTTGTTCTTGGAGATAAGAGTCACTTTCATCGATCTAGACCAGATCTGGTAGTTCTTGGTATCAAGAACAGGTTGAACAAGAACAAGAGAGGGATTCTCATTAGGATGCATGTAGTAAGGATTGGAAGGATTGGTAGCAAAATCAGAGTAAGGAAGCGCCATAATCAAGCTGATGCAGCAAAGGAAGAAGAAGGCGCGAAGGCGCGAAGAAGAAGAAGGCGCGAAGAAGATGAAAGGAAAAGGAAAGACGCGAAAAAGAAATTTCAAACTGATACCATGTTAACTTTGGAATGCCAAGAGAGAAAAAGTAAAATAGAATAAACTCATTGTATTCATCTTATTTTGGAATGTACAAGACAGTACTATATATACTGTTAAGTAACAAACTAAACTGTTAAGTAACAAACTAAACTGAATTATTTACATTATGTAATAAGAATAAATAAAAATGATAACAAGACTACCGTTGTATTATAAAATAGAGAAGATAGAATTGGGTACAATATTGATAGCTAGAGTAACATATTTATACTAAAAATTGAAAATGTCAAAAGACCCTATTAAATTATATTTCCAATACCATATTGGTTCATGTCAACTATTAATATTAATACAATTAAAACACATAACTAACTCACCAAATAAAAAATATAGAAAAACTCTAGTTATGGAATAAAGCCTGATAAATTGTGTGAATTAGCAGAAGAAAGGATTAACAAAATCCTAATCATTACAGAAGAAAGGATTAACAACAAATAACTAAATGATTAGCACGAGATCATATGATATAATTCTTTAGCACAAAAACATGAGTCCTTTGTTAATTTTTATGACAAAACTTTATAATCATTTCCATCGTATTGACCTCCCTCGTGAAATCAATATTTTACACATGATTTTAGGACAGTAAACTAAAAGAGAACAAAGAACTTAAGACCAACTTTGCTTTCTCACTCCAAATACTCTAGCGAATAGCTTAAAAATGATTTACATTTTAATTAAAGACCCATAAAAATGGAACACAAATTCAATTTAAAAAGGCCATATAAATTATGCATGCATATTATCAAACATTTAAAGAGTACTTCATAACAACAAAAAACACTGCTAAATCTACCAAATAAAAATTGAACTATTGTTGCAAGATTTGGAAAGATTTGGATTTCATGTCCAATTACAGTGATCTTAAGAATTATACTTATTAATGAAATCAAATGCAACTTGCTTTTGGTAATATATTCATTATTAAGATTTTTACTCCATAACCAACAATCTTTAACAAAAATAACAAAAATTAATTGCATTCTTTGAATTTAGTTATTAATTTCATGGGCACTGGAAAATTTAAATATACAATGATATTTCTATCATCAATCCTTAGATGATTGATATTCAACCTCGTAACTTTAAGAGAGATATCTTAGATATTCTTAAAAAGAGGATGTCTTGAGAGTCATAGTTGAAGTCAAACATTGGTATCTTCATCTTTTATATGAAAAATTAAATCACCTTTCAACACATCTAGAGCTTGGAGAATGACTTTCCATGTAGTTAAGTCACTTTTTTTTAATCGTTATTTAGAAACATATTACCTTTAAAGAGATGTGTTTTACGATCTGAGTCAGCCAAATCCTTAAACCACATAATTTTTTAGGATTAATTTTAATATTTTTCCAACCAACCATATGTATGGATATATCCGTCTTACCATGCCAAACAAAATTCCTCACAACTTTATCTAAGGTCTTACAAACATATTGAAGACCTAATGTATTTGCATATTATAGTAGGAAAATAAGTAAGAATAGTCTCGGCAAAAGTGACATGCATTGACTTGTTCAAGATTCTAAATTTCTAAAAAATAAGTTTTTAAGCTACCTTATCTTAGATTTTCAAAAAATTATCTTTCTTTGTGAGTCCATGTTTCATTTTGAATCCCAATTATTTTTCTAACTGGTCAGTAAAATTTGATACTGATAAGCCATCTTTTTGTTGCGGCCATTATCTCCAACCTAGATTTTCTTCACGTTGTTGATTCACTACAGTGTTTGCCCATGCTTCATCTTTTTCATAGTCAACATTAGACATATTCACATCATCTTGATGAATGCCACCAATTGGTTGTTCATCAACTACATGAGCATTAGCATTTTCCTCAAACTCAGTTGGATTATCAAAATCATAGATCTTTCTGGTTGATTGTTTCGGAAGGCATTAGTACACATTCAAGTTTTTATCCCAAAAGTATCTCATGTTGGTCAAGGTGCGTTGGGTGAACTCCTGACATCATCACCAACAACAGTAATATCAAACAATGACTTCCATAATGAATTAGTAAAAGAGTAGTCCTTACCTCATATTCTGAATTTAAACTCACTTCCTCAACATTTATGCAACCCGACGCAGAACACTCGAATGATATCCTCGTTGTAGTCTTGCGAGAGTTGCAGAAAATAATTAATTTTCTGATGCTCAACATGACTAACAATATTTGGAAAATTGAGTTCTTCGACCACATTTGCTTTGTACACATGCTGCTTCACAACAAGCCTATGTTGACACTTTTCTTCAAAGACCTCAAGATCATCTTCCTTAACTAAGCAAAATGCAGTTTCCGAAACATTTGAGAAAGAACCAGCCTTGCCCTTACCCTTGACATGACTTTTGTTCTTTGCTACTCTTGATGCCATGGTTGAAATGCCAAACTGAGCTTGCACATAAGGTGTTTGATAAAAGGTGTGAATGAAGAAAGCTTGTTATTTTAGGGAAATATGACTACCCACAAACCCCAAATATGATATGAACATGAAACAACACGCAAAAATGACAAATATGTAACAAATGGATGCAAATTCGTGACTTATAGGATTTGGGTGTGATTTGGATGAAGTGAGAGCAAGGGTTTTATAGAAGAGGAAATTTGAGTTGAAATTTGTAGAGTTTAATGATTTATGATGGAGAGAATAAAGAGATATAGTGGAAGATTTAATGAAGAATGAAGAGTATCAAGACCTATTTTGATTAGAAGAGGTTTTGTGGTGGGTGCTTGAATGAAGAATCAATGAGGAATATGAGAGGATAGAAATAAAATCTAAATGAATGACTTATTTTACTGCACGTGTCGACTTATATAGGTCATGTATCAACACATACTTAATCAAAATTGAATATTTCTGAAAATATAAATGATGAGTTGACCTGTACGTACCATGTGTCGACACATGAAGTGCAAATGATGAAAAATAGAATCTTGGGTAGGTTTTGGTCAACATGAATTAACTCATACATGAATGTTTATGAAATACACATGTAAATGAATATTCTTTCATGATTTTACACCAATAAACATATAATCACACATATGCAACATAATATATTTAATAGTAAGGCATACATGTGATGATACTAGAATGAGGTCATTATAAACATATAAATTGAAACACATCTTGGTCATCATTTGGAAATGAACACTTATAGCATATATCACACATGTATGTCATATACCTTCGAAAAATAAAAAAGTAAAAGACGTGACTTACTTACAAAGCGAAAATTAAAACTGAAATTCAGGTATATCATATCACAGATATCACATAGGATGTCGAGACATATGTTATAACTAAAACAAACATGGAAAGATATAACAAACAAAATAGTACTGAAAAGTATAAAACAACACACAAAATTGTTAACCCAATTCATTGCAAACCAACACCTTCCACCATAATCTACCCCCGAACTCAAGAAATAATTTCAAAGGTCTTTCCTGTTCTTTTCACCCTTTCCTTCTTGGATAAAAGAAAAGTCGATAGCAACTCTTGCTATCCGCAACAATTGCGATCAAACACAAAACAACCAAATCAGTTTTTCCACCATATTACAATCGGTAACAGTGATATTTGTAATTGCGTTTAATTTATTTTTTAAAATTATTATTAATATTGACGTATCGGTGTCGTCTGATATCTATGATTCATTCATGAATTGGTACAATTATTTATGCATACTACTTTCATGTGTGTAGGATGTGGTTTCCATGTGCACCACTAGCCAATCTAACTGTGTGGAGTAATGGAAAAAATGGACTAATATTTAGAAACAAAAACTCAAAAACAGCTCTCTCAAAGTATAACAATTCTTCTATTATGTGGAACATCATACAATATTGTAACTGCGGAGCATAAGAATTTAGTATCCAACTGAACCAATGCTCCACAGCAGTTGTTGGGAAAATCAACATCTGAGTCACAAATTGTAGATTGGTTGATGTTTGTAACTTAACTTGCATGGTATCATGATGGTGATGATGCTGACTCCCAAAGTAATGATCTGTTCCAACCTTTTCATTATGTGACTTGCTGAAGAAGTAAACTATTTAGGGTGAAGATTGAAATTTAAGGAGGCTTGTATCAAACATTGAAAAGAGACTTCATTTTCCAAGTAACATAGTTATTAAGTATTGTGTTCTCCATTGACATAACAAGAGCATATAATATGGGCGGTCCAGTGCGCGAGGCTACGCAAACATTACATTCCACATGCAAAGAGGTCGCTTTCAGAATTGGAAACTCATAAACCTTCAGTCACAAGGCATCGATCTTACCGTTGCGCCAAGACTTGCCCTCAACAAGAACAAGAAACGGATCAAGAACCTTCTGTCACAAGGCACCAACCTCACCGTTGTGCCAAGACTTGCCCTCAACAAGAGCAAGAAACGGATCAAGAACCTTCTGTCACAAGGCACCGACCTTACTGTTTGCCAAGACTCGCCTTCAAAGTTTCTTTCCTGCTAAGAGGTTGCTTTCAGAATTTGAACTCATAAACCTCTGTCACAAGTCATCAATCTTACCGTTGCGCCAAGACTCGCCCTCAACAAGAGCAAGAAATGCTTAAAAGTTTTTTTTTCTTTGATCTCTCTTTACCAACAATCGTTACAAGCACATTTTCCGTCTTTAAAATGGTGAAAACGACCATAATCTCTAAGTAAAATCTCGCAATTTCGGGCCAAAGAAATGTACTTTGCAACTGTATGACAGTCGCTACAAATTCTTGTGTTCTTAACAACTCTAATTGGCGATCCACCTTTCGTTTTCATCACTCCATAAACCATTGCCAACTTCTCAGTGTGACTCAGAAGAACCTTCTCTTTCTCGTTGTCATCAGTATTTTGACATACACAATTGAGATCAGCTACATAACCAAGATTTCGTATCTCGGAAATTAACCGATATAGCTCGAAGTATATTTCCCCTTCTTCTGGATGCGGTTTCCCATATGTCGAAAACACATGAATACTCTGATTAACTTGGGTCCAGCTCCAAACAGGTGGACTTTTCATCGCCAAATCAATCATCGAGCGTTTAAGACGCTCCACATCATCCCATTGGTTTAAACTCGAATATAAATTCATCATCAACACATAGTTAGCAGAATTTTTTGGTTCCATCTTGAAAAGCTTCTCTGCTGCAACCTCTGCTAGCTTAATGTTTTTGTGAATTCTGCAGGATGTTAGAAGAGCACCCCAAATACTCGCATCTGGCTTAATCGGCATAGTTTTGATGAAATCCGAAGCTTTGTCAAGAAACCCGGCTTTTCCAAGAAGGTCTACCATGCAACAGTAGTGCTCAATCGTTGGAATAATATTATACTCTTCTTGCATACTGTCGAAGTATTTCCATCCTTCATCGACTAAACCTGAATTCTTGCAGCCAGATAGAAGAGCTGTGAACGTTATCGCGTCGGGTCTAATGCACTTGTCGCGCATTTTGTCATAAAGAATCATTACCTCTTCACCATGGCCATGTATAGCATATCCCATCATCATGCAATTCCAACACGGAAGTGTTTTCTCCTGAATTTTGCTGAAAACATTATTTGCTACTTCTAACTTTCCTGCTTTACTATACATATCAATGAGCGCTGTTGCAACGTACATATCATCTACGATCTCAAGTTTCATACTAAAGCAGTGAATCTCTTCGCCTTTCTTCAACAGAGACAGGCCTGCACATGCACAAAGTAAGCTGCAAATCATTCTCAAATTAGGTTTTACATTTTCGGCTTGCATTTGGCTGAAAACCTTTAGAGCATCGGTGTATTTCCCGTTTTGAGAACATCCTGATATCAAAGCAGTCCAAGACACCACATTAGGAGTAATTCCTGAACTTTTGATCTGATTCATCACTGCCAAAGCTTCCTCGATCCGGCCTCGCATTGAATAACCTGGAACTAAACAATTCCATGTCACCAAATCAGGTTTTATCCCTTCCTCCTCCATCTGATTCAATAGTTTTTCGGCGTCACCAAACAGTCCCTTGTAGGAGTAACCTGATATCAAAGAATTCCAGGTGCAGACATTTTTGTTCTTTGCGTGACGGAACACTGCATGAGCCTTTTCTAAGCAATCATTCTTAACATACATATCCACCAATGTAGTACAAACATATACATCACAGTTAAGATTACTTTTCATTATGTAACCATGGATTTCTTTCCCTAATTTAAAGAAACCTAATTCAATAACTGCTTTTAGAGCACTAGTTACCAAGTACGAATCTGGCTTGAAGCCTGCATTACACAGGCTTCGAAAACTAGTGAGAACCATTTCAAATGACCCCTGAAGAACATAGCCCAACAAAACCGAATTCCAAGTTATAATATCAGGTTTAATACCAGAACACTCCATTTCTTTGGCGAAAATATCAAATGCATCACTCAAACAGCCACCGACCGTATAACTCGAAATTATTGAGTTCCAAGACGACAAGCTACAATTACAAACCTCCATCGAATCAAAAACTGACTTAGCTAGTTTGAATCTTTTGTTTCTAGAGTACATAGTAATAATGGAATTGCAAACTTTAGTATTTGAAACTAGTCCAAATCTTAAAGCATACCCATGAAGCTGTTTTCCTTCATCGAGAGCTCTGAATTTTCCACATGCTTGCAACATCTTGACAATGAGGCCAGAAGTGGCTTTTGCAGAAACTCTCTGCATATTACCAAACAACTCTAAGGCATTCTTCCATTTCTCGCTCCTCAAATTCGCCATAACTATTGTATTCCACAAAAAATCTTCTTGATTTGGAGTCTCATAAAATACTTGATTTGCCTTATCTATACTCCAACATTTCTCATAGAAATTGATCAATGCACAATTCAAGTGTACATCATCATGAAACCCTTTCTTGATCAAACAAGCATGAATTTCCAAACCAACACACAGATCCTTTAAAGCCATACAAATTTTCAGAATAAAGGTGAAAGCTATACTATCAAATTCCACACCTTTACTATGCAATTCATTGAAAACCACCAAAATCTCAGATGGGTCACCTCCAAAACTTTCAAATTCTTCCACAAAAGAATGGTACAGAAGATAATTCCTTGCAAAACCCACAAAGAACACTTTTATTGCTGATACAAAATCACCAAACTCCAAATAGTTTCTCATCACGGTTCCATCAATTGTAGTAAAGTTCACATTTTTAGGGTTTTTAACCATCTGGGCATGCATTTCCTTGACAGAATTCAAAGTTGTTAACTCATTGAATTCATCAAAAGGGTGAAAAAAAGGAGAAACTTTTGGAGGAGAAAATTGAAAAGGAGAAGAAGGGGGGAAATGGGCATCTGGAATTGGAAGAGAAATTGAAGGAGGTGGAAGGCTTTTAGGTAGCATGTGATTTCTTTTAGGGTTTTGATGAGAATAAGGATTAAGGTGATGTAAAGGGGATAGATTGTCCATGAAGATTTGGTGCTTAGAAAAATTGCAAAATGTTATTGGTACACCATAAAAATTTGATGTTAGAAATGGTGTTAAGATAAGGTTATCCTTGGAACTCAGAATTCAGGTGTTGAACATAGAGAAATTAAGTAGTTGTCACTCTGAATTAGGTGTAATCTCTATGTTTAATTTTGATTTTTGACTTTTTTTTCATAAAAAATGTATTTATCACTTTAACAAAAATTTAATATGCATATAAAATTCAAAATTTCTCTTTATAAATCCATTAAACAATTTCTTAGACAAAAATAAATTTTTGATCTCTATAAATTATTAAATTTTATTTTTACTCTTTATAAAAAAAACTGATATGTTTTAGTTTTTACAAAATTATTATGCATGTAATTTTAATTCTTATTGTTTAGTTTTTGTTATTAAATCGATGTGTATTTTTGAATGATTATTATACAAATATTTTTAGAATGTTATAAAAAAATTTTGAAAAAAAAAACTCAAAATTTGATTTCTAAGTCGAAATTTTCATTATTTTTATCAATATTTTTTAAAATTTAAAAAATTCATATTTAATTCTTCTCATTTTAAAAAATTCTAAAATTTGATAAATAAATATTTTATAGAATTCTAAACACTTATGAAAAAATTATTCAAAAACTTTAAGTAATTAGCAACTTTCAAAATTTTAGAAAATGATAAGGATTAAAACTACATAAATAAAATTTTTGTAAGGACAAAAATGTATTATTTTTTAATAGTAATTAAAAATAAATTTTAAAATATTTATTGAGACCAAAAATATATTTAACACATCTTTAATTATATATTGTTGTAAGCATCTCTAATGTTTTATTGTTGTTACATAGAGAGGAAAAAACCAAAAGATTATGGCTCTGTTTGGTAAAGTTAACGGTTGACTGATAAATTAACTGATAATTTATAATTTATGACTGATGACAGATATCTGATAATTTATAATTGGTGGTTTATAACTTATAGTTGATAAGTTGATTGAAGTGTTTGATAAAATTAATGGTTCAATTAATTGATAAATTAAAATGACATAAAAGACATTTAATATTTAATTAATTAATTTTAAATCAAAATAAATCATAAAGGGTAGTAGTGAGTTTTAGTTAAAATAATAAATAAAAAATTAGAAGAAAAAAATGTAAAATTATAAGTTATAAGCTATAAGCTAAAATCTTATTTAAAAAAACATCCGAAACATAAGCTATAAGCTATTAAAATAAATAATAAGTTTGTGATAAAAAGACTATTAAAACAGATCTTTTGTTACCATATGAGCTTATAAATTATAAATTATAAGCTCAAAAGATCGGTAGCCAAAGAGTGTTTATGTGATTATCACTTAACACATGAGAAAAATATTTGTGCATCATTAACACCTAACTTAACAAGAACATTTGTGCAAGGGTTTTCTTATATGCAATGTTTTAAAACTCAAATCGAGCCGGCCGATTTAATCGGTTGGATTGGGATCGGAGATACATCCGATTGAGTTAACCTTTTAAAACTATTAGTCGGTCAAAATCATAGTAAAACTGAAAAAAATCAGATTTAACCGCTTAAAATCATTCGAACCAAAGAACTGGAGTCAGTTTTGTAAAACCAGCCGACTGATTAAAAAATGCATCAAATTGGTCATTTTTTAAAATTATTTTAAAAGTTTAATATGTCAATATCAAAATTTAATTAACATACATTCTCCAATCACAAAAAAATAATTATGTTTATCTTTTTCAACCATACAAACTTATAATATTTGTCATTCCATTATAGTTTTTCTTTCAACCACACTTCATCACCATCATGCCGTCTCTTTCAAACATAGTCACAGTATTCAGTTTAATATTAGTTGTTGTTCAAGTCAATATTGTTTGTTGTTGTCAATTATGACTTGGTTATCGTAATTCAACTTAAATTTACTTTTGTTGTTTAATTAAATATATTATATTATTTATTTTTGATATTTTATCTTATTTAATTTAGGTATTCTTAATTATTTGAATTTTATTTTAGTTATTATGTTCTATTATTTTAATTTTGATTTGAATTAGTTTAACTTATTTTATTGTAATTATTTAATTTATTCAAACTATTCTTAAATGAAAGTTGAAATGAAGTGTATAACTATGTTACGTTATTATATGTACTATCGATATTGTTGCATTAAGTTTGTAATAAATTCTTGAAATATTTATTTTATTAAATTGTGAACCAGGACCGGCCCAACTCGTTTTGAGGCCTAAAACAATTTTTTTTAATCAAAAGAATATATATTAATTCAAAAAACACTCAAAGAACAAGGCGATCGCGATGATCCATCCCACAAGAAAGACAAAAAAAACAACCAAAAGCCTACAACATTAACTTAATTATATGCTTTCTCAGTTTTGTGGTATACCAACCTCTATATATGATTTTTTTTATAATACTATTTGTTATAGTCCCATGACCAGATTTTTAAAAATCACTTCATTTATGTGTAACCAGATGCCATAAAGGATCTCTGTGAACGCTAGTTTCAGCAGACTATCTTTCCAACCCTTCTTCTTCGTATGCTCCATAACCCAATTTAACTCTGCAGACCAAGGCATAAGAACATGATTAGTATCCAACCAGCATAGGACACTTTTCCAGATGGATATAGTAATCATGCTCTAGAAAAATAAATAACAGATAGATTCATCAGCAGTATTGCAAAGGCTACAAATACTGTCTTGAATCATCCCAAATCTCTTAAGTCTATCCTCGATTGTCAATTTACCATGGCAAACAGTCCACAAATTCATAACAGCTCTAGGCCTAATACTATTCTTACTGATCAGATATCTCCAAGGCACACGATTGTTGTCATCAATCAAAGTTCTGTACATATCTTTCATAGAGAATTTACTATTGTTCAGCATTCTATCAAGTTTAAACAACCTGAGTAGTAATATCTATTAGATTCATGATGTTATTAATCACCTAAGACTATTTGTCCCTCCTATAGCATCCCTCCTAAAACAAATTTTAAATGAAGCATTTAAAATAATAATTTTGTGGTTGTTAAGAGTTGAATTCAAAATCAAAAGAAAAAGAGTCATACATTTTACCAACTCAACTCAATTATGATAATATATGTGACTAATGTGTAAAATTTAAGAAGTTTATATTATTAACTTTAAGAAACTTTGTAGGTATATATGAAAAATCATACTCACTCTATAAAGATATTAGAAATTTCGTCTTTAGTGTCTGATTTAGAGACTGAAAAAATAAAAAAATCGATCACTAAATAGTTTAACGACCGAAAAAATAATTGTCTTTGTTGAAAAAGTGTTAGTCGCTAATCTTTTACGACGAAATCAACTATCAAACCTAGCCACCGAATTTAAAACTGCTTTAAAGATTGAAACTATGGCCAATTTTAGTGACCGATCGTTTATTTAGTGATAAATTTAAAATAAATTTCTACTACTTTATTCTACCACTAGCGATTGTATGAATAAAAAAAATTAAACACATTAAACATTACAATATATTTATTAAAATAACATAATCTATTAAGTATTTTAAATACTTAAAAAATAAATATAACACATTTTTTTATAAAGTCTAACTAGATACTCATAAAAAATTTAACAAAAGAACATAAAATATATTAAGTATTTCTCAATATTCTTTAAAAATACAATAAAACTGTTTTAGTTATATTTAATAACTTTTTCCTAGTAAACACTAGTAGAATTTGCCTTTCATCTATCATCAATCTTCTCACTTCATCCTCCTTTTGGAGCACCACATGCCTTTGAAATTACATATACAAGTCCAATACCGTCATGCTTAATCAAAGCTTAATGCCAAAAAATTGTCATAAATTATAACTAAATCAGCTTCAAAGACTTGTTGTAAGAAGAGATGTACAAACACCTGTTGCAAAATCTCAACATCAGAATATTCAAATCCTTCCACATTGGTTCATGTCAGCTATTAATATTAATACAATTAAAATACATAACTAACTCACCAAATAAAAAAATATAGAAAAACTCTAGTTGTGGAATAAAGCCTGATAAATTGTGTGAATTAGCAGAAGAAAGGATTAACAAAATCTTAATCATTACAGAAGAAAAGATTAACAACAAATAACTAAATGGTTAGCACGAGATCATATCATATAATTCTTTAGCACAAAAACATGAGTCCTTCACTATGTCAAAGAAGGGATTAAACAGCAATTTTTTTGGGCTTAGACAGCGCTTAAAAGCACTGCCTATTCAGCGCTGCTATAAGTAAAGCCAGCGCTTTGGTTAAATGAGAAAGCATTGTCTAAAACACCCCTTTAGACAGTGTTTTTACTTTAGACAGCGCTTTTAGTTATCTTTTAGGTATCACTTTAGATAGCGCTTTGTCTGTAAAAGCGTTGTCTAAAGCCCCCCAAAGCGTTGTCTAAAGCCCCCTTTAGGCAGCACTTTCACTTTAGGCAGCGCTTTCACTTTAGACAGCGCTTTTGGTTATCTTTTAGGCAGCACTTTAGACAACACTTTAAAAGCGCTGTCTAAAGCCCCCTTTAGGCAGCGCTTTCACTTTAGACAGCGCTTTTGACAACGTTTTTCCTTCAAAGTGTTGTCTATTCCCTACTTTAAGCAGCGCTTTTTATTTGAAGCATTGTCTAATGTCCACGAAATTTTTTATATATAAAACTTAAAAAAAGCGCTGCATGATATATACAATAAACATGCACCATATTTTCACCATATTTTGCACCAGGTTTTCACCACATTTTGCACCAGAATATGCATTTAGAATTTACACCAAATTTTCATAAATTAGAGCTTTAATCCAATAAATATGCACCAAATTTACCTATTTGTATATACATCTTTAATCCAATAATTTATATATACAAAAAATTGATGATACAACTGGAAAATTCATATATCTTGTTAGCTACAAAAAATCTAATATTCAAGCTAAAAAACAACAACAATGAACTT